GGCGTTTTGTACTCAAATGGAAGTGATAATTATGGGTACAGATGTGCAAGAAATGTAAAACAGTGCTGAAATGTAAAACAGTGCCTGAATTTCCTTGGGATGTTTTTTCTAAAGCTAACTAGACTAAGGAAAATAAGGTTCACTTCAAGCAATAAGAAGGAAGTATGCTGGCATCTGGTATCGTAATCCCTTGTGCATGATTTTTAGAAATAAATCTGAACTAGTCCATTTGCCTTAAATAAAACTGTTTTTCAGATGTTACATAATTAATGGCATTCCTGAAACATGTTGTTCATATTAAGTCATAAGTTTTATTGTCTTTTTTCTAAATGAAATATCAAACTCTTCTGTCCTACATCCAAATTGAAACCACTCCCTAAACAGCAAAAGCAGAGTTGGTCTAAGCCCGTCTAAATCTGCCACTACAAGAGACAATCATGTCATATTTCCTTTTCTATTCCTGCTTTTGTATCAGCACCGTGCAGCCACATGGTAAGCAGGACTGGCAACCTGGTGCCCCTGAGGGGTAGTCCTCGCCATCAAAGTTTACAGATGAATTTTTGGCTAGCTCTATTTGATAGAGTGCTGATACAGTTTGTCACTTGGTTGCGTGTATGTGCTAGTGGCAGCAGAAGGGAAGAGTGAGTTGAAGAGGAGAAAGGGACAATATCTTTAATGGCTGTGCAGACACTAGATGGTTAAAAGAAGGGAGAAGTTTTGGTTTTTTCTTCCTCTCGTCCTGGCTGCCTGATCTTGCTCTCTCTCTTGGGCCAGTTCTGGTGCACAGAGCCAGTTGAACTCATTAGTCCAGCAGAGAAACATGTACTTTTTGCCAGATTAATGAATTCAGCTAGTACAGAGAGTAGCCTGCTATGCACCAGAGCTGGCATGAGGTAACCGTGGGGGATGGAGAGAGCACAAAAATTCCTTTTTGATGATTGGAAGTGGTTAGACTGATCTGGTCAGTCTCAGTGAACTTCAGCGTTAGGTGCAGGTTTTCTTTTTAAGGACTTACTGATTCGTATGTTTTAATAACTTGAACTTTGAAATGGGAAGCAAAGGAATCTCTGAGAGGCCTGGAGGTAAAAATGATGTTTTTCAGAGGTATACATACAGTGAAGTGAAAATTAGCTTTTGTAGCTGGTTGTGGATTTTGTATCTTGTGACAAATTCATGTTAGCGTATGACCTTTATATAATTTATAAATAATTTCTTTTATTACGTCCTGTGTTGTATAGTGGGATTTACTTAAGCCTCTCAGACTGAAATCAACTCAATTACAAAAATAGCTGTGTTCCAGTAATGCATCACTGCTGATTTTTTTTGCCAGCCCTTGCCCACCCCCCCAGTTATGTGAAAGACCCTTACAAGCAAGGAAAACTGTCCTAGTCCGTAAATATTTTTGGCCAAGAAATAGCCTGCTTCTAAGTTTGGAAGTAGAACTGTGACCATAACCCATTAATTTTTCTTTCTTTATATAAATCTTTTGAAGAAATGGTATTTTAAAGTAGTAAATTAGGGCACCTATTTGTTTACTGGTTAGTATTTCTAGGTGCATATCTTTTGCTTAGAGTTGCATCTCAAGGCAATATGCCTTGAGTAACTATAACTGTAGTTACTGTTGCTGTGGTGTTTGTATACACAGATATATCTAGCAGAGCTGCAAATACTTAGGATGATGCACAGAATTTGAAACACTTGTAAATATCTATTCCTAATCTACTGGATCTTTTCAGAGGATTTTTTTTTTCATTTTGTTCTACTTTCCTGCTGATATTTTAGGGTGAGAATAGAATATGAGTGCATTTAAGATGAGCAGACAACTGTTGGTACTAACAAACAGCAGCTCTCAAACTGCTCTAGTCAGTCAGTTAAGGACTGCCATGTGCAGTCAGGATTGCCCTGTGGCATCTTCTGCCCTTTCATGATATTAAGTTTGGTGCTTCTGTGACCTGTAGAAAGAAGGAGTTACGAGGATTAAAGCTGCGTGCCAGTGTTGCTTCCTCCACTTCCAACCCAGGGTTGGGAACTAGAAGAGTTTTTGTGCAGTAGCATGTTTGGTGTAGCTGTAGCAAATGGTGGAGGTGTTCAGGAAAGGTACGTAATTGTGACACGAGGAGATTGGGATTTGAGCAGTCCACTTGGATTTTGCTGGAGGAATAAGCCTGATAGAGTTGTCTTGTGCCATGTCTTTTGTATTTCACCTCTGAAGATCTGTTTACATCAGTGAGATGCACGGTATCCTTGTCAGCCTTCTAGAAAGATTAATGATGCCTGTGTGGGAAGATGGTAGTGCCAGGAAACCTGGGATGGATAAAGTGCAGAGCTGGGGGCACAGAAACAGTAGAGGGAGAGTGCTCTGCTGCTGGCAGGGTAGGCTTGTGTTGCATGAGCAGGAGAGGGAAAGGCTGTTCAAACACACATGCTGAAGTTGAAGAGTAAGAAAACTAAAAGTTGGGGTAAGATTAAAATGCCAGCTTTAAAGACAGTGTAAGGCATGGCACTTTGCTGAAATTTCCTGGCAAGAATATTAAGTATGTGTGTGTGTTAGAAAGTGTAGTTGGTCAGTGGTACCTTAACTCTCTGACTTGGACAGGAATCCAACCATGATGCTTTACTGATTGACCTTCAGCTGCGATGGGTGGGTAGGAGATGCCATAAGGAAATTTTCATTCTCTTGATACTTTTTTTGGTGGGTGTGTGAATGGGCATACTTGGGGTGTGTGGCTTTCTTTCAGGGGGAAGGTGGGTTTTTCAGCAAAATCTCTTTGATGATGACGACTCATTCAGAATGCCTGCATAGTTCTTTCACAGTGCTTTTAATCAGTATTTTCATTTTGCAGACAGAAAATGGAGGTGCATTTCTGTGTATTTTGCTTCTCCTTGCTTTGTCACTAAGCCAGCAGTATTCTGGAGCATAAAACTATGCTTCTTGTCTTCCACTGTACCTAAGCCAGATGGAGCAGGCTATAAGTACTTGCTACAGTACGGCTGTGCTGAGCGAGTTCCAGCTCCTGGATTGGTTTGAGAAGTTACCCTTTGTCACTCAGCTTGGTCTTAAAGTACTGATGATGTGGAGACAGCTAGCAAGGCAGCCATATGCAGGGAAGGGCCAAACTAGTGTGGTTTTAGATATGGATGGTAAAACATCATCTTGGTTAATTATTAGTCTAGCTAGATTCTCCAGTTACTCATTTGGATTACTAATGATTGGGTGTTCACTTTTCTGGATGCCTATGACTTCTTCTATCTTGAGTCTCGGGTAGCTTTCAGTCCTGGGAGGATTTCTTCAACAAGAGAATCATATAGGCCTGTTTTATGACCAGTAATACCTACTCTCTGATGGAGGAACTCTCTAGCAATACTGAATGCAATGCAATTTAGCTTTTTGGAAAGAGCATTGTCTTGGATGCGTTTTGTGTCCTGACCATTTGCTCATTTTGGCAAATTTTAACTCCTGTGAGTTAATGATATGGTTTTATTCATAGCAGCAAATATTTGCCCAAAAAAAGGGGGACAGTGTGTCATAGAGAAAGGTGGAAATGAGGGGCTGGAGATAGAGTAGGGACTGACTGTTTGCTAGTACTGTGCAGTGAACCATTTGTGAACTCTGGCATTAAATGCAGCTTGTAGTTTTTGTTGGAAAGCTGAGGTTTATGTAGAATAGCAGCAACATCCTGAACATGGCATTCTTGTGTGGTAATTGTGATGGATGTGTTTATTACACTGTATTCTGTCTGGTTTAAACCCTCCCTGGGTATTTATTCTGTCTTTGTGCAAGGACAAGATGAAATTACAGGTCATTATGAAAAATGTCAAATTGTAAATTAAGACGACTTTCTGTGAAAAGGCTTTTTGTTTTCTATCTTCCCTTCCTCCTCTTTCCCCACCCCTCACTTAACTCCAGATTCAAGGGTGTCTAATTTGTAAGTTGGTGTTTTCATTATTGTGTATGAAAGATTTGAATAAGTGATACGAACTGCTTTTTTCATGTGTTTGCTAAATTTTTAAAGAAATTTAAATACAGCAAAGTTCTTGTTTCAGAATTGTTTACTAGACTGTAACTATTACACATTCAAAGAATATTCTCAATTTTCTACACCTGAATATTATTTTTTTACTAGAAAATTTTGTTGCCTAAACCTGGAAGAATACCAAAGTACCTTTCCAGAGCCTTTGGTACATGTGTTAGCAACTGACAATGGAGTTCAACAAAAATCTGTTTAAGTTTTGTTACTTTCAGTTTCCCAAGTGTTGAAATTGCTGAGTTAGCTTTCACATTTGCTTGAAGCTTGCAGAGTTTAGCAGCTGGTTCTGTTGCTGCAGTCAGTTAAGAGGGAGGGAGTTCCAAGCTGCAAGCAATCTGCTGCGCGTGGTTCAGATTTGACAGGAAGGTGTGTTGAAATTTTGAGGGCATGATGCGGAACAAGTGACTGCCTAAAACAAAATGATAAATAAATACTTCTTAAATGTACAATGTAAGCATTGAACATAATTGGTAAATGTCAGAAGTGGCTTTTATATATTCAGTAATTGCAGAATATTAAGGTTTGGAGATCCAAAACTTAAACATACCATGAAATGAAATTTGATCAAAGTGTATTCTATTTAATAGTCCTGTAGTGAGGCATCTGTTATTCAGCTGTAGGTGTTTTATTCAGGATTTCTTTCAGGATACCCTGACTGTCAGAGCCTAAGAGTGGGGTTTTTTTATACATGTTGTTACTGCAGTTCAGCATTAGAAAAGTCAGAAATATTTAAATTCACTGATTCTCTATCTTATTCTTGTCCTGAATATTTGCTATCTAATGTCTTATCTTCAGGGTTTCTGTAAGGTTGTACCCCAGCATATGCTGTTGACTTTGCAACTAACGCATGTTTCTTCTTTCAAGCTGGGAATCATTAGCAGAGTGACAGAATCGGTGAAAAACATTGTGCCAGGATGGTTACAGAAGTATTTCAATAAAAGTGAAGATGAATGCGTAGATCTAAATGAATCAACAAACCAGGAAGAGAATCCAGTAAACTATCACCATGATTATGCAAATGAAGATAGCATAGTGATTGATGGGAGAGTCACGCCTGAATCGGCAAGAATTAATTTAGAAGGTATGTGAAAAATCATTTAGTATTCTGGCCATCTGTATTTATTCACAGATTTCTAGTTTTGAATCTAAAGGAAGTTGGAAGAAGCATTTTGACAGAATTTAAAAAAAAAACCCTACCAAAAAGCTCCCACACAACACAAAATCAGAATGCCCCCCCAACCAAACAAAAACTCTGAACAACTGTTTGTGAAACTGTCTTAGCTCAAAACTGTAAACATAATTGTAAAACATACTGGAGGTTGTCTTACAACTCTTAGAAGTCATCAGTTAACTTCAGGTAGTCAATTAGGTGCAAAATACTGTTAATACTCATTTGCAAGTGTGCTGGGTTACATTTTCTTTTTAAAAGGTCTGAAATTAAAGTATCTAATTGCCTAAGGTAATAAAAACGTTAATTTGTTTTGTTGTCCTGAAAAGAAAAGACCAGATGCTAGAATGCCAGAGGAAAATTCCTTCTCATGTCCTGATTGACTCCCCGCCCCTTTCGGCTTCTTTTGTCAATTTAGTCAAGTTTCTTGTTAGTGTAATGGAGAACTGGGTAACTTGGTTTATGACATTACTCTTTTTGAAATATTTGATAACATTAAGGTGTGTACATGGGTAGCCTCGGGTTTTTGAAAACCTATTTTGGACCCTTGGCAAGTTTGCAACCCCTTACTTTACCATATAAAAGATTAATCTGTGTTTTATATGCTTCTCACTGTTTCTGTAGTTCTCTGTAAATTTGCATATGCTCTCATTTGAGTTTCTCTTAAATTAGCAGTTTTGTGGAATTTAATTTTTAATAAAGAGAAAAATTTTGTCTGAGCACACTTACATAACCATCTGTGTGGAAAGTCAGTTGCTTCAGTTGTTGGCAGAATGAAAAATAATGAGGAAATACCTTTGTCACCAATGTCATCTACTTGTAAATAAGGAGCTTTATTGATTTCTGTGTAGCTGTAGCTTGAGAATGAGTTTGGATAAAGGAATAGAGAAGGTCTTCATGAATGAGCAACACGTGTTGGCTTTCCTGAAGAACTGTGTGAAAGGACCTTTCAGTAAGAACAGCTGCACAGCAAACTTTCTAGCTCCAAGAAATCAGGAGCAGATGGACACCCTAGAACCTTTAGTAGCTTGTGTTGCAGTCTGTGAATGTTGTAGACCAATCTTTTTTGCTATAGTTTTTTTTTGTTATAGTTTTTATAGATTTTTTTGTAATTACTACTATTATAATTCTAGAAAGCCTGTTTCTTCAGGTGTGAGGTACCAGTGTGCTAGAGCCTGTATTCCTTTGCTTGGCCAGCCTTCAGCCTGATAACATTTTCCTTATCTGAAAGAACACAGTCCTAAAAATCCACTAGTGCTTTGGAGAACTAGTACTAGTAGTACTGTGGTAGTTATGAAGATTGAACTAGCTAGTTTAAGCTTCAGTGTAAATATCAAGAGGAGAGTGACTCAAAATCATGTTTGTACCTAGAACTCCTGGGAGAGACTGGACTTACATGGATATCAGGTATGATATCCATTAATAGCTGTTCCATTCATGTGGCAAGTTGGAGCTGTGAGACCACTTCCTGCAGGACACTGGCAGTGTTTACAGACCCTTTGGTTCATGAAGAAAAAAAGACTCTCTTGCAGCTGAGGCCACGATGCTTGCTTGTCCTTTGTGCCAAAAACTCAAATGTTATTGCATAGGCAATAAAGTTTTGCTTGTAGGATGACCTGTCACCTTTTTAATGGTAGAATTTGGGAGGGCACATGACAACACCAAAACAAACAACCCCCCCCAGAATCCCTGCAAATACACATTTTCTTGTTATTTATTCAGATTAGCCTAATCTTTGTTAGAAGATAAACTTCAGAGTTGTCTGCAGCTTGCTGTGTCTCAAATTTTGGAAAGCTTATTGCAAGCATCTGCAGAAGAAGGAATTTGCACATTTGATTGAGTGAAGGACCCAGTGTTGGAGCACTTGAGCATGTGGTCAGAATTTTGTGGTGTAAAACTTAATGCGACATTAATAGTTACTGCAAACAGTGTTGCTGTTGTAATAAAACAGTTAGATGAAACTCTATCTGAGTGAGGAAGAAGTTAAATTTGGCTTCTCTATTTTTGTGCTTAGAACTTGGCAATAGTGTGATTGTTGATAGAAAAGAGGTTTTGGCGTTTGTGGGCTTGCCTATAGGAAAGCTACTTGTCTCCCTCTTCTTGTTTAGAACCATCCACGAGTAGATCTGCATTGAACTTCTCAGATGTGTTAACAAGGCCCTCTCTCCATCGGAGCCATTTGAACTGTACCATGTTGGATTCCACAGTACCGCACTGTCAACCCTCTACATCTTCTTCGCTTGGCATTGGCAGTCCTGGACTGTCTCTTGTAAAAGAAATAAAAGATTCTACCTCTCAGCATGATGATGACAACATCTCAACAACCAGTGGCTTCTCTTCTAGAGCGTCTGATAAAGGTAACTGTCGTGTTCTCTAATGGATTTTTTGGTAACGTGAAGTACTTTCCATTCTTTAATATTCCGCATCACCTTAGTAAATAAAGTAGTTGAATGTCAGCTTTGAATGTTAGAATTAAATTTAATTTTTGATATTTTAGAAGTAGATAATCCTGTCCACCTTTTTAATACAACTACATTTTGGAATATATTTGTGAGATTCGGATGTTACAAAGAGTCAGTGCTGATAAACACACTTTCAGCTAGGTTATCTGCAAATCTTGAATGTAGGATAGTGGGAACTGAACATGACTCACTGTAGCTTGACGGCTAGGTTGATTGACTAGAAGGAAGAGTGACTCAGAATATCTGACTGACAGCTGGTTGAATGTGAATAAATACAGGTCACAAATAGAATCACAAGATGTTTTCACCAGGAGTCAATAAAGGAACTACTCTCTAAAAATTTTGGGCTGCTTTTTTTGATGTTTCTTATTAGAAGGTTGTCAATATGGACATGTCTTTTGCTGAATTCAGTTAAGGAATGTACACCATTTTAAAGTTTAAAAAAAAAATCTATTGATGTAAATGGGGACCTAGGTGATCTCACCAGGAAAGGGCAGACAGCAGGTTTGCAGATTTTTCGAGTCCCACATGTAAACAGGGGTTGAGGCGTCCTCAGCAAGTTCTCTGGAGAACATATTTTTACAATTCAGCATAGTTGTTGCCAGGGTTTAGCAATATAACCTGAATTTACTATAACTTTCTGGAGTGTCTCCATAAAGCATACATGGAAAATAAGTCATTAACTCTGTTAGTTCAGCCTTTGGGGATCTTTTCCAGGTTTAAAACCTGTGCATTTCTGAGCTATGCTGACCTCCACCTTTTACCAACATAGGAAAGACTTTGTGTCATTATAGATGCACCAGTGTTTATGCAGTTCCCTTTTATTTTACCATGAAAGAAGAAAAAATAAAGTTGCTCTGCATTGGAAACATACTATTAATTTGTTGTGCATGATTTTGAAAGATTACTGAAAAGTAACGTATTTGGAGTTCTGTGAACAGATTTTAAATTCAGAGTTAATACTTGATTTTCATACCGTATGTAAAATTGATCTGTTTGAAGAACTCTGATGGTTAGAGTGCTGGAGAAATGAGTGTTAGGGGACTTTTTTGTTATCTAAGACTTATTTTTTTGTATTAACGAACTCTGGAGTTAGTGTGAGCTTTAATATTAAAATTCTTTATGTACACAAGGAATTTACATATAGCATGTGTCATTTTCACAGATATCACCGTTTCAAAAAATAGTTCAGCACCACTGCTGTGGTCCACAGAGGCTGAAAGATCTCATTCCCTCTCACAGCATCCTGCAGCTAGCTCTAAAAAACCTGCATTCAATTTATCTGCTTTTGGGTCTCCCTCTCCTGTAAGTACTGCACAGCATTAATTTTAATCAATTTGAATGTGTAGTCATTTTACTAACCTCTTGTCATAATACCTTTCTGTAGTCACTTGGAAACACTTCTGTCTTTAAGACAAGTCAACTCGGGGATTCTCCATTTTACCCTGGAAAGACCACTTATGGTGGTGCAGCCGCAGCAGCAAGAGAGACAAAAGCGCGAATTGCTTCTTATCAGGTATGAGAATAGTAGTGCAGTGTGAGGGAAAATGTAACTGAAATGCCAAAAAGCTGTGAGCAGGGAGCTGAAAATGTGGTAACAGGTCCTATTTTGCCCTCTCAGCCTACATGAGTAGAAAAGAACAATTTCTGTTTAGACTGTTTTTTAAAAGTTTACATAGAAGTATTTGTCATAATGCACAAGAATGACAGTAGCATCTTATGTTCTAGCTAGTTGTTTGTGGTTGGGATTTCCTCTGTTGTTAAGCTTTTCAGAAAATTACATTTTCTGCCATTGTTTGCCTCTGACTGCATTAGGTTAAAACAACTTGTAAATAAAACCAATCATGGCATAACTTCGAAAAGTTGTGTTTATAGCAAAAACTACCTGTCTGATACTTACCTGTAGATCTTATTTATAGCGTGGGTGTAGGCATGTTTGTGTATATTGTATAAAACTGTGCACTCTTTTCTGTAATAGTATCTAAAAGGCAACTTTGCTCATACTTTGCCCTTCTGTTACCTGGAGGGAGGCATGCAGTCCTAAATGCAATCTCAAGATAAACAATAAAATGCTTTCTGGTTTAATACCATTTGGATAGCTCTTGAAAAGCTCTTTGCCCCTAAGAGTTCTTTGTGTTCTAAAATGAAACAGTAAATTACAAATGCTGACAACTCTCAGTAGCTAGAGTTGAATCTAAAATAAAGTCAATAAAACCTGGTTCAGTTGGAAAGTATTTAAATCAAAATTACCTTTATTTAAAAAAAAAAAAGTCACAAGGAACTTTATTTAAGGAACTGGAAATTTGCTGGACTTATTCTGGCAGCCCATTTCTACCATGGAACAAGGGGACCTACAAGTTCCTGAATTAGTGGAAATGTTGAAAACCTTTGGTTTGTTCTGACCTGGTGTTAAATCAAACTTCAGAACACTCAAAACTTCCTGTAAGCTAGATGTCCTCTTTGGTCAGGTGTCTTTATTTTTTACAAAATAAATGTGGATGATGCTGAAAAGAGGAACCAAAATACTAGCCTTTTAAAGGAGAGACTTGCTTCCTTGTTGCTGCATGCTGTGGATTACAATGAGTCTTGCTTGTGTTTTTTACACAATGTATAGTCTCCTTCCTGTCTTCATATAGCAGCATGATAAACATCATGTGGTTACATGAGGGGTTTAACATTAAAAAAAAATGTAGTCACACTGAAAGAAGGTTTTTTTTAAATTATATTCAAAGTCATGTGGTGCAAATAAAAGTTTACTTTTTTCAGTGTAGTATGTTTAGATCTGTTGCAGTTCGAATCAGATATTTATCTTCCTAAACAGTAAAAAGAGCTGTAGTCGGCTGTAATCTTAGGGGAAGGGAAGAAACGGGAGAAGTAAAACTAGAAATTTGTGATGATGGTTGTATACATTGGTTTTAAGATGGTATGCTTATACCATCGTGAAACTCTTTGAGATCTAGCCTGTTACTGAAAGTACTTTCTGCAGCTCAAGCCTTTGTTTCAGTTCTGTTTTCCCGTTTACTGCCTCAGAGATCCTGCAGGCCTGACATCTTCCCTTTTATGACCTTTTACATTTTAGTATTTCTTTTGTTGCTTTATCGTGTGTGGGGCCTCACTTACATTTCTATGAAGTCAGTAGAGTATATTTTCTTCTTCATGGCTTGAATGCCCAGTGAATGCATTTTTCTCTGTCATCACAAGAGTATTGGCTGTATCATCAGTGCAGCTATAGGGCAAAAATACATGCACGTTTAATTAAAAATCAAACGTCATAATATTTGCAATACTTATTTTTCAGCCACCAGTAAGAAGGCAAATGAAAGCTAAACAAGCAAGCGTGCAGTCCTATGGTGTGACAAGTTCCACAGCACGGCGCATCTTGCAGTCATTGGAGAAGATGTCAAGTCCTTTGGCGGTAAATGGCACTCTTTTAAGCTGTTTTATTTCATGTGTTTGTAAATCATAGTAGATGTGCCAGTATAGGATGAAGATCTTTATATAGTGTCCAGTTTAATTTATTGCACTGTTTTTTCAACAGGATGCTAAAAGGATCCCATCTTCTGTTTCTAGTCCACTGTCTTCTGTAAGTTGATCACAAACCCCCCAATTTTTTGTTGGATGGAACCCTCTCTTAGGGAGAAACTTGGCCTCTAATATTTAAGCTTTTTTTTTCCCTTAGCCTGTGGACAGGAGCTTGCTGAATATTACTAGCTTCCAATCCAAACGACGACAGGTAAGAACCAGTAACATCTTAAGCTGACAGATAACTTTCTATGCTTTATAGCCATTAGAACAAATGTCACAAACCTCAGTGACAGCATACATACGAATTCAAGTTAATATTAGTATTATGTGAATTATAGCTGTCTTGGCTCTGTGGAAATTGCTAAAAATGTCTTTTCTACCCACGCTAGATGAAGGACTGTGAAGATTACTCAGGTTAAGAATTATTTTCCTTATGTGGTGGTGTCTTGATGTGTCAATCAAGAACAATTTCTCTGGAACACACAAAGTAGTTTTAGCTTGTCCTGCAACTTGGGGTTAAGTTGCATGTTAATCTTTCTGTTTAGGAAAGCTTTCTTTTGCAGAAATGATCAGAAAGAGAAAATACTGATTGAGTGATCATGAAGACCTTCTACAGATTTCCATGTTCGTTTTGAGCAGAAAAATAATATTGATGTTTTTTATTACTGCTCAAAGTAAGGAGAAGGAAACTAGTAATGTTTTTTAATCACTTTAATTTGGGGTATCATTGAGTTTATTAAATTGTAAGACCTACAAAAGGCCACTTTAAGATCAGGCAACTGAAGGAACAGAAGTGTGATTTTTCTTCCATGCAAACTTTTCATCTGCTGTTTTAATGAGAAAATGAACAGAACGTCTCAAGAAGTTTCTATGCTAATCTCTTGATTAGAAATGTAATTAATTTTACAGTCACCTCAGTTTAAAAACATCTTGGGTTTCTTGTACCATCTTTTGCCATATGCTAGATTGCAAGAATGTTGAAAAGTAGAGCATATAATTTCTTTGCCATAAATATTATCCAAATAATTGAAAACAAAGCTGGTATGGATTCTCAGTGAAATTGTGGAACTACACCTGTGATGAGGCATTAAGAAAGATCTACCAGATTTGCAGCGTGGAGCCTGATGTCAGTCAGAAAGTGAATGTTGCACACAGCTGTCACTGGGTAAAAGTAGAGAAATTGTCTATTCATAATACTAGAATTCATAAAATTTGGCAGGGCAAGGGTAGCTCTTGATGAGAAAGGGAGGAGAGGGTTGTGCGTTTTCCTGCTAAAGCAAACATATGGTTGACAGAACGCTTGAGCTGTCAGGCAAAATCTCTGCAGGTATTTTTTTGTTGTATTTTTCTTATTTCAATGATCTGCACCACACAGAATAGCTCTTATTGTATTAAAAATCTAACTGGGTGACAATTTTTTTTCATTATACATTCCTGTCTAATCTAATATCCTTCTACAATAAAGTCAGCTGCCTAGTGGGTTAGGGAAAGGTGGTGTATGTAGTTTTCTGGATTTTAGTAAGGCTTTTCACACAGTCCGTCACAGCATCCTTCTGGACAAGCTGTCCAACAGTGGGATGAGCAGGTTCATGGTGCACTGGGGGCTCAAAGGGTTGCAGTGAATGGGGCTACATCTGGCTGGTGACCAGTCACCAGCGGTGTTCTGCAGGGCTCAATTCTAGGGCCAGTGCTTTTCAATTTTTTTATCAATGATCTGGAGGCAGAAGTTGAATACATCATTAGCGAGTTTGCTTATGATACTAAACTGGGAGGTCCTGTCGACTCTGTGGAAGGACAAGAGGCCTTGCAGAGGGATCTAGCTAGACTGAAGTATTGGGCAATCATCAGTGGCATGAAAAGGAACAAGTGCTGGATCTTCATCAATGACACAGACAGTGAAATTGAGTGCACCCTCAGCCAGTTTGCAGACGTCACCAAGCTGAGTGGTGCAGCTGACACGCCTGAGGGAGGGGATGGCATCCAGAGAGACCTGGACAAGCTCAAGCAGTAGGCCCATGTGAACCTCATGAGGCTTAACATGGCCAAGTGCAAGGTCTTGCACCTGGCTCAGGGCAACCCCCGGTATCAATGCAGGCTGAGGGACGAAGGGATTAAGAGCATCCTTGCAGAGAAGGGCTTGGGGGTACTGGTGGATGAGAAGCTGGGCATGGGCCAGCAGTGTGTGCTCACAGCCCAAAAGGCCAAGTGTATTGTGGGGTGCATCAAGAGAAGTGTGGCCAGCAGGTTGAGGGAGCAGACTCAGTTCTTCAGCTCTGCTCTGCTCTGGTGAGACCCCCCTGGATACTGTGTCCAGCTCTGGGATTCTCAGTACAGGAAGGATATGGACCTGTTGGAGTGGGTTCAGAGGAGGATCACAATATCAGGGGGCTGGAGCACCTCTCCTCTGAAGAAAGGCTGAGAGAATTGGGATTGTTTAGCCTGGAGAAGAGAAGGCTCTGGGGAGACCTTATTGGGGCCTTTCAGTACTTAAAGGGGGTTTATAAGAAGAATAGGGACAGGCGTTTTTGTAGGGCCTGTTATAATATGACAAGGGGTGATGGTTTTAAACTAGAAGAGGGTAGATTCAGGCTAAATATAAGGAAGATATTTTTTTACAATGAGGGTGGTGAAACACTGTAACAGGTTGCACAGAGAGGTGGTATCTGCCCCATCCCTGGAAACATTCAAGGTCGGGTTGGCTGGGGCTCTGAGCAGCCGGATCTAGTTGAAGACATCCCTGCTCATTGCAGGGGGGTTGAACTAAATAATCTTTAAAGGTCCCTTCCAGCCCAAAATTTTCTAGGATTCTGCACCTGGGATGGAGTAATGCTGAGCACAAGTATAAATTGAGGGAGGAGTGGCTGGAGAGCTGCCCTGCAGAAAAGGATCTGGGGGTGCTGGTTGACAGCAGGCTCAATACGAGTCAGAGCTGTGCCCTGGCAGCCAAGAGGGCAAACTGCATCCTGGGGCACATCAAACACAGCATAACCAGCTAGTCAAAAGAGGTGATGATCTCGCAGTATTTGGTGTTGGTGTGGCCCCACAATTTAAGAAGGATGCATCCAGAGGAGGGCAACAAAGCTGGTGAGAGGGCTGGAAGATGTGTTCTGTGAGAAGCAGCTGAGGACTTTGGGTTTTTGTCTAGTTTGGAGAGAAGGAGGCTGAGAGGTGACCCTGTTGCTCTCTACAGCTTTCTGTGGAGAAGGGAGGTGCTGATCTCCTCTCCCTTGGATCCAGTGACACAGGATGCGTGACTCAAAGCTGCATCAGTCAGGGGAGGTTTAAACTAGACATTAGGAAGTATTTCTTTAGTGAGAGTGTGGCCAAATGCTGGAACAGGCTTTCTGGAGAGGTGGTCAGTGCCCCATGCCTGTCGGTGTTTGAGGCATTTGAACAATGCCCTTAATAACATGATTTAACTTCATCAGCCCCGAATTGGTCAGGCACTTGGACTAGATAATCACTGTAGGTCCCTTCTGACTCAACTGTTTTCTATTCCAGTTCTATTCTATTAACATTTTAAACCAGCAGTGCACTATCGTTCACTGAAAACAAGTTTGTGAGCTTACATGAATTGATTTTACTCAAGGTTTCAAAATGACTAATAATTTTAGAAAGATAATAATTTAATAATTTTACTCACTTTATAGAGCATGAATTTTATTACCAAGAACTGGGAGATACTGTGAAATTAAAGCTGCATTTTAAACACACTTTTCTGTTGATACTAATTTAAATAATAGTATGTATCCTAAATCTGATTATTATGATCCTTAAGACTGCAGATGGAGCCTTTGGTAAATCTTGTAGCCTTTTGAGATTTTTCTTGTTTCACAATTCATTTAAGTCAGTTTTGCAGAATATGCAGTGTTTTCAGTTAAAAATTAACTCTTGTCTGTGAAAATGCTTTGACAAGGAAATTTGAACCAGTAATTTTAAATGCATCTAATGCAGCTCTAAAACATTGGAACATACTTCAATGAATTAGACTATTTTAAAATTATTTTACAACTTTTTTCTTTTTTAAGTGTGACTTTAAAGGAAGCAAATGTAGGAAAAATGAAACCCAGAAGCCTGTATAATTAGCTGTTTAATGCTGTGAATGTGAAATTAACAGATTAAGACAGTAAAAAAAAAAAAATCACAACGTGAAGAGAGGAGAGGAAAAGATGGGAGAATATTATGATAACATGAGTTATTTTGATTATAGTAACATGAATTTTGTCTATGAAGTTAACTGCCAAATTTTGAAATGGGAATCAGTCAGACTTTGTCTGCTTCTGTAGCTTTTTGGATTTCATAACTGTTTTTCTGGTGATTTCCCTCTACAAGCTAAATGCTTTCAACACTTCTAAATAATTTTCACTGGGTGCTGAGACTGATGGGAGGTTTATAGTTTGTAACTTTTTTCATCAGTAAATGCTGTGGTAGTTTCGGCAGATGCAAGGATAATTTGATTGTTCCTTCCCTTTCAAAGATGGAATTGCAGCAACCACCTGTCCAGAAACTTGTGACACCAAAGGCAATCTCCCTGTCAGTGAGTCGGACCCAGTATTTTAAACCATCTCTGACTCCAGCTACTGATTCCAGCAAAATTCACCAGAGGGTAGATATAAAGCACAAAGTAAGTAAACTTTCTGGTCCTTATCTGCCTGCTTTTTACAAGCTTGGGATGTCTCTAACCAATTAATTCTACTAAGGTGCTCTTTCTTGGCAAAGAGTACCAATAGTATGCTTGAGGTAAACATTAAGATAGTGAGAACCATTGTGAAAGTGATACTTTGAGGTTTTATGGATTTAATTATATTTTTGGAACAGTAAGTGGCTGGTGGTTATTTTCAGAATATGTTGATGTGCTATTAGGTCAGGCTGTTCTCAGTGAAAGAATGTTAAAATACAGAAATATTTTCCCTTTTGTATGCTCCTGTACACAAAGCTGTCGTTGATGAAACATGCTGTGTATAAGCTCCTTTAGGTAAGCTATGGGCTCTGAGTGAGATTTCTGACAATTACCCATTCTGATCACTTTGTTAATTACCCATTCTGGTCATTTTGGTGTAGATGAAGTCCCTGATAAACTTTCTGTAAAACAGGATTGGCAGCTCTTTCAGAAAAAAATGCCCATGGTTCTAGTATCGATCAGAATGTAAAAGTGACCAGATGTTAAGTCTACATGGCCAGTCTTTAGGCCATGGCTTGGAGATCAAAGTGGATAGTCATAGCGGCTAGGGAACAGACTTAGTAGATGGGGTATATCTAGTGGTACAAATGAAAAAAAACAACACAAAACATGTGTGTGTGGTTGTCTTTGCTTTGTATATAGTTTATAAATACATTCAGATAAATTTTGAAACTTCACTTGCAGAGCATGAGAGAGAAGAGTTTTCCTGCAGAACAGCAAGTAAAACCATCTGAAAGGTATGACAAATCTATTAATTTAAAACACTTTGAAAGAAGAAAGTTCTCTCCTTTGTCACTACAGTTTGCATGCCTGTGTTCTTTTGGAAGGGCAGTAACAGTTCTCAGGACAGTGAAAAAATTGTATTTATGAGAGAGTTCAACCATTTGGGCATCTTGATGTTTATTAGGGGGACAGCTGTTAATTTCAGCTAATTATTTCATTGCTTGGAGGCTGAAAGCTTGATCCTAATGAAATCATTATTTCTGAAAGATTATAAGGTGATGTGGCTTACAGTTCAGGACTAGATTTAATTTTTAGGGTTTTTTTTTCCTTCAAAGAGTAAAAAACCGATGTTCCTCCTCATTTTTGATGGCGAGGTAATTTGTCTGCTCTGTGAGATTGCACAAAAAGCATGGGCTCTTTAGAATGATCTGAGGCCAAATGACAACTTGTCTCTAAAACACAAAATTCCAGGAGAGTTAATAATTGTATTTCTTCCTGGGGAGATTGTCTTGCATTACACTGCTTTCTTGGTTTAGGTAGAATGACCACTTCCAGGTAATTTTGATAGCTCTTCCTTCTGGGCAAATAGTCTTTTGGGTAATGCTTGAATTAAGACACTGCATTCAAAGGATACGTTTTTTGGAGGATTTGTCCCTTTCAAAGAACAGTAGCAGGGAACTGTATTTTGTTGTTTCTGTGTTCATCTTCCAAGCAATTCTTATGGTGCCTTGGGCATTCTTTGGCTTGCAAAAAAAAAAAAAATCAAACCGAACCTTTATTTTGTTTTGGCATCTAATAGTTTGACTTCACAGCAGCCACCTTGTCAGGGGTGTTAAAGATTGGCTCTAAGGTTTCAGCACATGTGCGAACAGATGTTAGGTTTTAACTTTGGGTTTTCAAACTGTTCTAAATTTTCTTTGGTAGAACTCCTTTCTTTTCCTCCATGTAGAAGGAAGATCCAGAAAACTGATACTGCTTTTTATTTGGTTCACATGTTTTATGACTATGTTCTACTTTTGTCTGTAAAGTAGATGGTCCTTTTTAAAAAATTGTTTTATAAAGCCAGTCTCTGTTGGGTGTCATGTTCTAGAGCGGGAACACAACCCTCTTAAGGGGTAGCTGGCCAGAGTCCCTTCATGCAGCTAACCTGCAGGACTTTGGAACATCTGTTCAGCCTACCAAAGGCTATTTAGTTTTAAAATCTGGGTCAGAATAGTGGGTTGGACTGACTTGCTTGAAGACAGAAGACTCTTTGCCCCTTAGAAGCTGACAGGTGTTAACAGACAAGAGGAGTACGGGCTATTATAGACAGGCTATAATTGTCTGAATAAAGCTCTATTTTGACATGAGATTTTTTTTCAGAATTCGAATCGGTTGTCAGTTTGGATTAGAGAAAAGTTTGAGCATATGGCCTTAAGGATCTGTCTTCGTCTCAGTGGTTACAGTGCTAAGCAGACTGTTTGCAAGTATCTGACAAGTTTAGACCAATTATTTTCCTCAGTCTTCTGGAAACTTGACCTGGTGTCTTCTAGTGTGATCAAATATACTTTTGTAATGACTGACTGCTTGGCTGCAGGATAAGCTTTGATATGGTAATTTTTCCAGGGATACTTCATTTTGATGCTATACTGCTTTTTGTTGTTGTTATTCCCTAGTTTGCTTCTGGTTTGGGGTGTGGTGTGGGTTTCTTGGATTTTTTGTTTGCTTGTTCTGAGGGGTGTTGTGGGGTTGTTTGTTTTGGTTTCGGTGTGTTTTTGTTTTGTTTTGGTGGTTTTTTTTTTTCTTTACCCCCTTGGATTAGAAAATCTTTCTGGTTTGGATCTAGGCTCTTTGTAATGAACAGAGAAATGCCTTTGTATGCCTTACAAAAGGGATCTGTATTCATCTCTGAAAAGACTTCTGGAATGTTGGCATACCCAAACACCTCTGCTTCTTCTGCTGATGGCCCCAGAAAAGCCAGAGGTCCTTCTGGAGCTTCTGCTGTATTATCTTGCCATACAAGTTTAAGCCTCTCTTCTCCATAAGAGCTGTTGGCAGCATTTCACGCACGCATGCACGCGCTCTCTCTTTCCATATGTATATTTTTAGTTGCTCTTTTACATCCCTGCAAAGATACATCGTCATCAGAGAATCGAAGAACTGGCAGTCAAAATTTCCACTGTCTGGACTATTAAAAGGAAACATTAGAAAATAACAATCTAAATGAGTTCTTCTATTTCAGGTCTTCTGGCTTAGTCATCATTCCTTTATGATGTTTTGACTGTTTCTTTTCTATGTCTTTCTCTTGGCTGCTCTTATTCATGCAGCTTTGCTGGTTAGAGCGTCAGGTATTTACCAGTATTTAGTAACATGTGGAACAGTTGAAAGGAGCAGTTTAGGACAGCCTCCCTCCCCTTGGGACCTATGACCAAGTTTAAGATATGGACTGAATTAAGGTGAAATGACACCAGCCAACTAGTTGAACAATTTATTAATACAAAATACAAGGCAAGTGATTAGATACAGTAACTCAATGGCAACTATTTAGCTGGGTAAGCAAGTCCCGTGCTACATGTTTTTACTTGGATCTAGTTTTAATTTGTTAAAGAGAAAGAAAGGGGGGGGGGGGGGGGGGAGAAAGATACCACCACCTGTGGATCCAACAGTGTCCCATTGGTTCTCTTGATTCTCGGTGTCTTGGTGGTGGAGGTGTCCCCCCTAGCTTCTGATGGTACCATTTTTATACAGCCCGAGTCCCCAAAATATCTGCCTGGTTTCAAGAAACTTCATGCATATGCATGGAGGGCGTGGTGTCATGTGATGTAGGCGTGGTCTGCTTTGGTGCATGCTCGGTGTGTCTGGGGTGGTTGCAGGGAGATTATTCTGGGGGTCACATCATATCAAAGTCTACAACCTAGTACCCTATGCCTGCACAGTTAGTTGTTGGCAGGAATTAAAATCACGGGTTCTTGCCTAGTTCAAAACCACAGGACGTACTATTGTTTGGTCCTGCCTCTGCGGGGCCGGAAACTGATGTTTTGTTCTTGCTTGTGGTTTCCTCCATACCAGGAGTGTTTAAGGCAAATGTCTGTGCATGTGTACGCCACAGGGTATCAGTTCTAGGACTAACAGTGGCTATAATAGCTTGAAATAGTTGATTTTTTAAAAAAAAATCCCTGTTTGTTTTTTTTTCTTTTTTCCCTTTCTCAACCCATGTATCGTTATTCTCCCCCAGCAATTCAACCTATCCCAAATTTGGTACTCCTGCATCCAATGGCCTGTCTTCAGGAGGAGGAGTGGGTGGTGGCGGCAAGATGAGAAGGGAAAGAGAACACTATGTATCAAAACTTGGACAGGAACAACAGGTAAGGGACTAAGGTTAATTGCTCTCACTGAGGTTACTGAAGTAACTAGCTAAGTATGCTAGTTTAACTGCCTCATAGTAATTTATAATAATGCACTTCATTTTTGTGTTTTTTTCACTTTGGGTTTCAGGGCAAGCTTAAATTTATTCATCTGTTTAAGTGCTTTAACTTTGGTTTTATATTTTTGAAATCTGTAGTCATATTATCTTGAAGAGGCTTCATGCTATAAAGTTTCTCATTAGCAGCTGAATGAACAAATTTTGGTGAAGGTTTGTAGAGTTTTAATAAAGGAATGATGCTTGAAACAAGTGCCAAGAAAGTAAAGTGTATTTAATTTTGTTTTTTCATATTTAAGTTATGTAGAAAGATACAGGCCAAGAGTCTGAAGCAGAAGACAGTGTTCTGCATGTCTGCTGATAATAATTTGCAGTTTTTGGCACTCTCATTGCGAGAGGTTTTTTCTTGTTTCAATGGGAAAAGTCCATTTAATAAAACTGTGGTCATGACTATCCCGAAGATTATTTTTCTGACTGGATTTTATGTAAGCTGCGTACTACTGCATCTTAAATATAAAAAATTTAAACCAGTCTTCTGGCTGATGGAAAATGAAGAAATAGTAAATACTGGAGAATGTTTCTGTAACACAAATGGTCTGAATATGGAAGTTCAATAGACTCTTCAAATCAAAACTCTGAAGGATTTAAGCTATAGAATACTTTAAATTTCTGTAGTAGTATCTTGTATCTCTGCTTAGTCACTTCTGGGTACATGTTGGTACTACTGTGCAAATTGTGATTAGATTGCCTATTTCCATTTGCACCCTAACTAATCTAATCTTGGTAATCAAATAGTTTAAAAGGCAAGGATACGACCAGTTTTAAGGTACCCAGGTTTCTGAGTTTTAAATTTGCATCCTGATACATGGTATAGACTATATTTACCAGAGTGTGATCTTCTATGCTGCTAGTCAGGCTTTCTTTTTTTGGCATTTTATTCTTTGGCTTGCTTTGGGATTTTTGATAGTCTAAGGAACCCCCGTACTTCCTTAAAATTTGTCAAGTTTACTTCAGTAGTGACTTCAGAAACTTTGGCAGCTCTCCTGTCTAATTTTGCAAGAGGAACACTTTCTCATTTGCCTTGAGAGTGTACTTGTAATTGAAGAGATGAGAGGATAATTAGAAAGGATGATGTTTCTCTAGATTTTTCTTAACTAAAGTATAGAAAACAAAAGTAAATCTGATCGGTGCCCCTAGTTCTGCACAGGTAACAACTTTGAGCTGACTTTCAGGATTCTTACCAGACTGGTGATGAATGTAGTATTAAATGGAAACACGCCTGCCATAAATTAAAATGACATGGCAGACTGAGGTGGGAAAGGTCAGGATTCCTGTTGAAAACTTGCTCTGTCTTAATCTATAGCTCTCTCTGTTATATTTATCTTTGTTAAGAAATTAAGGACGGGACAAGGTAGGAAGGTAGTATGTCTTGTAAGAGAAGAACTAAATTTTTTACAACTTTTTAAAGAAAGAGAAAAATTAAAATTTGCAACAATTAAAATTTACACCTAGGAAGTGGAGGAACCAGTACTACCGAAGGTACCCCTACCCATCGGTACTGCATCGCTGCCTTCCTTCACCTTTAGTTTTCTTGCCAGTAGCACTGTCTCATCGTCACCAAGTGCTGTTTCAACGGCAGTGATGAACAAGGTAAATTTTTGTTGTATATTGGGAATGCTTTTTTAGGATGAGTATACATCTGGTTTGTTTCATGTTAACAATCCTCCATGGTGCTCATGAAACCAAACAACGTTAGTTTATATTCTGTTGAATAAATCAAGGTTGTATTCTGATTTGGAGCTGGGGGGGAGTTTTTGATTCAGCCCCTGTCCATCTTATACTTTGCAAACTTCTAGTTAACATAATTGTGTAACTGCTTCCAATGCTATGGAGATTTTGTTGGAATCTTATGCCAAGTTAAATTAATAAATTAGAGGTAGCATTAATGGTCCTATGAGCCTAGTGTAGAATGTGAGCCTAGGGTACAGTAATTGGAATATTACTGCAGAAAAATAAACATTCATCTATTCCAGAGTACTTAATATTTTATGTTTTGAAGCAGGTATCTGCTTTAACATGTTGAGATATTTGCTGATGCTCTGAATACAATTGAGCTGAGTTTAGTTTAAGGTTCTTGCTGCCTGGTCTGCTTTTCCATATATTTAATAGATCTAAGTAGCATCTCAGTTTTTTCTCTTGGTTTATGGGCTTTGGTTTTGATGATACTGTACTATATGCTTATCTACAAGCTTCATTTTCTTTTATTATAACTCCTATCTCTGGATTAGAAATAAATACCAAACATCAGATTCCTCAACTTCACAGAAGAACATCTGTTAGATAAGTGAACTCAGGTAGCCGCTATTGTTTAGCCAGGGTGTTTTTCTTTTAGATACAAAGCTAATTCTTTTGAAAATACAGGTACAACCAGCAAGTAATGTTGGCAGTCCTGTGTTCAGATTTTCATCTCCAATTGTGAAATCTACTGAGGCGGAAGTGCTACCTCCGTTGTCTGTAAGTAAAATAAGTAAAGCTCAACCTTTCCTCAAGGCTTTAGTAGAATATTGCAGAACAATTAAGCAGAATTGGCCCTGATAATGGGGAAAAGAAATGTATAGGTTTCTGGCTTATAATTTGTCACTCAGCATGTATACCAAAAGTTTGAAGATAGGATTTCAGATTATTATTTGTGTGTCAAATTTGATTAAAGTTTCTTTAGTTTCAGGATCTGAAAAGTCTCTCTTTTTTTCCATAGCAGATTGGGTTTACATTTAGTGTTCCTGTTGTAAAATCAACAGAGCTTTCTGGATCCAGTGATACACCAGTGACATCCTTACTTACTTTAGGTAACAGAAATGCTGATTTTATTTATTTTGTGTACTTAAATACTAACTCTATCCTTTCTGAACATATTAGCCAGGTAAAGTGACAGATCTGCTTTTTAACCAAATTGGAATTATAAACTGTTGTAAACAAGGTAGAATTTTGAAGATTCTGATATAAGAATCATGAAACTTGGAAATCCTTGTTTCTAGCAAATGTGACTATATTTTCAGTGGATTTCTTTGTGAAAGGTGTTTTTGTTTGTTTTTAAAGATACCACCACTGTAAACAGCACCAGCAATAAGATGGGAAAAGAAGAAGAATACAATGGCCCCTCCAAACCTGCAAAGGTCTTAAAAGAAGGAAGTGTGTTAGACATTCTAAAAAGCCCTGGTAAGATAATGAACTCCTTTTAAAAAAATATTGCAAAAAATATGCTAGCATATAACATCATTGATTTTTAAAAAGCCCACCAGCACAGCAGCATACCTCTTTGGCACTGTTAGTTGCAGTATTAGCTATAAATACAAGCATAGGACAATGTTAACATTAAATGCTGCATCTGTTATCGTTGATATCCCCTTCTATTCTAAGTGACTTTTGTTGCTAAAAGGAAAACTGCACCTTCAAACCAGATGCATTGCTTTTCAGTTAGGATGTAACTAAAGTATAAAGAGAATCAGTCAAATTTTAAATGAGTAAAATTCATTTTAAATTAATATTATAAATGAATAAAATTTATGGAATTGGAAAGGAAATGTCTGTAAAATGCTTTACAAACATTCCTCTCTCACCTTCACCACCTCTGGAAATTAAGAATAGTAAAGACAGTTTCATTCCCAAAGATGTTTCCAAAGCTTCAAATTTTTGGCTTTAAATGATAACAGTTACTATGGATTCACATGTAAAGTTTAAGTAGAAGTGGGCTGTTTCACTTTAAAAACCCTTTTTAAATTTTTACTTTTTAAGTAATTGAAGTTGTTTTCAACTGTTTAATAAAGTGTGTGTAGGTCATGTTTTTTGTTTTAAGAAGGGCTTTATTGAATTTGATCTTTTCCCATAAACCTTCAGTTGCATCAGGACCCTTTTTTTTTTTTTTTTTTTTTTTTTTTTTTAATGAAATGACAAATCTATGTACTACTTAGGAAGGCAGTGCTTTTTTTTATATTGGAAAGAACTGTGAGAGAAAATACACTGTGCATTTTATTTAAGAAAAGACCTGTGAGTCAAGTGACATTTTCTTTATCTTAAGAGAAGCAGGTTCTAAATCCACACTGTTCAAAGACTCCACTTCCAATACAAAAAAAAACCCCAGCTCTAAACCAACATAATAATAATAATAATAATAATAATAATAATAATAATAATAATAATAATAATAATAATAATAATAATAATAATAATAAACCCTCTTCATTTTAGCTTTAAAAGTAATTTGTGGTGCAGTTGAAGATGCATTGCCATAGCATTTTCTTTAGTGTTTCCATATTGGTGGTTCTTCTTATTAAAATGGGCACCTTTAAATAAGGATTTGGCCTGTGTCCAGTGCATTTTGAACACAGATTATAGATAACAATTGGTCTGTTGTCTTCATATTTATTACTTAATTAATACTCACTATCTGTGGTGAAATACCATGTGGATTGCTGCTCCAACTACCAGCTGCTGTACAGCTACTGAAGTAAATGTGAGTCATCTACTATGGCAGAAATAGCTTTAGAAATTTTATTTGATTGGGCATGGTATCTTAAGATGAAATTGGATTATATCTAGTCTATAATGGACAGTCAGCTCTCAGTACTGTTTGTTCACACTTGTATCTACCAGCAAAGATTTATATTTAAATCTTTCTTGGAACTGAAGAGTTAGATTTAACTTTAAATAAATGTTCTGTTGTGTCCCAGTGCAGCATATGAAATTTCATCCCTTTAGATAAGATTTCCAGGGACTTCCTCTTGCAGTTAGTTGGAATGTATAGTTGTAAGTGTTGACACTTGGTTTAAATTTATGCCATCTAGTATTGTAGGTAATTTACATGTAGTGAGGGTACTGCTTTATCAGTAAGACATCTTCCTGTTTATTTTTCTTCTAGGCTTTATGACTGTGAAAACACATTCCTCTACATCTGCACAGCCTGTTACAAGCACAGTGGTCTATACAAGGCCTGCAATAAGTAGTTTTTCTGCAGGTAAAGACACCTCTAAACAAGCATCCTCATTTTGGCAGTCTGACACATGCGACCCATGTCTGCAAAACAAAACCACAGATGGCAAATATGTAACATGTGAAGCTGCTAAAGTGTCAACAGTTGAGAATACAAAGCAGACAATAAGCTCAAGTCAATGTGTCACCTCTAAAGCAGTAGTCCCTACAACAGGAACATTGGGCTTTGAAGACAAATTTAAGCCAGCACCCAACACGTGGGATTGTGATACTTGTCTGGTCCAGAACAAACCTGAAGCTACAAAATGTATAGCATGTGAGACACCAAAGCCTGGAACAGGAGTAATGCCTGCTCTGACATTGCCAGTGGTCACAGACAGCTCGGTGACGGTGACGTCTTCCTCCAGCAGCACTGACACAACAGTCACTCTGGGGTTTGGAGACAAATTTAAGAAGCCAAAAGGCTCTTGGGACTGTGCAGTGTGCCTTGTTTCAAATAAGGCAGAAGACAGCAAATGTGTAGCTTGTCAGTCTGAGAAACCAGGTGTGTGTTCTTCTCTTTTCTGTTGTTTCAATCTCAGCCTCTGTGCGTTCGTTACAGAATAAAATATGTTTCATGTAAAAACCATTTTCAGCACCATGGCTGTATGCCAGACAGGATGGATTAGTGCCTATCTGCAGGAATGGTTACAGGCACTTCTGAGGTCTCAGCCCAGATTCCAGCCTGTCACATGGATTGAACTGATTGTGAAATGTACTAGTGCAGAGCTGAATTGAAGCAAATACACCCTGCTTTACAACTGGCGAGGAAAGGACTAAACTGGATGCCTTATCTAACTATTTACTCATTTTAATTTGGGGAAGAGTGAACTCCATAGCAAGTTAAAAAATACTGTTAGTTATTTTTTTCCTTTCTAAACATAAGTAGAAACAGTATTCATAGAACATGGCTAAAAATGTCTCCACTCAGCATGTGTGTGTAATTGAGCAGAGGTATAAAGCCAGAGTTCAAGACAGTGTAGTCTTTAACTAGTTGCCTTAAGCTAAAACAACTGTATGTTCAGCTATGCCTGTGAAGGCCAGTGGTAGCTTTCCAGAACATGGGTGACCTTGTTCTGGAAGGTTGAGGTCCTTCCAGACCTTGAGGGGGTGGGCACCTTCTTCAGTGCAGTGCTGGGTTGTTTCCCATTGTATGTGATTGTAATTGATTTTGAGTGTGCTAAGTTTATTGCTTTTAAAGCAGAAATCATTATTTTAGTGTTAAATTTCATTGGCTCTTAACATAATTTAATATACTATTAGGTCAAAAAACACCTTTGGAAATATATCCTGGGAGAAAAAAAGAAATCTTAAGATGGACTAGATTGTGCTTTTGTAATCAACCTGTACAGCAGGAGTGGAATTTCTTCAGATAATGCATTTCAGAGGGAGCTTACTCTCATGGATTTTCAGCCTCAGACTGATCAGCTGGCACTTTTGTCTGAGACTGTAGCCATTGCAAGGAGGAATTTTGGATCTGAGGGGTTTGCCATGACCATCATGGTGCAGAGAATTGCACAGTTGTATTACATCTGTCAAGGGGATGAGTAAGGCAAGTAAAACAAGAGGATAAAAATTCTCTGGGTGTGCTGTGGAAGAGAAGACTCATTCCTGTCTTCACTGTTTAGAATTTGAGGTATTACCCACTGTCTCTCTTAAATGTTTTAAAGCCATAGGTGAATGTGACAATTATGTGATGCTTTTGTGCCTTCTGCATGTCCACTTCAGTCCTTAACAGAAGTGAAGTTTTCTGCTGGGGTGCAGCATCAAGTGACATCTCTTACTTTACAAGGGAGAAAAATCAGAAGGCAGGTGTTGTCTTTTGGGCCTCTTTAATGAGGTTTCTGCTGCTGTTGAAGACAGAGTAGCTTGTGTAGTGAAGAGTTGTGGGTTTTGAATCTTGGAGTTCCTCTCTGTTGTGGTTTTTTTTTGGTCATGGTGTAGTTTTGAACATGTTTGTCTTTTGGGATTTGGTGATGAATCATTCCGGTAAATTCTCAGCCTCGTATCACTTGACAGTGGTCATTAACTTGAGTGGTGCTAACTTTGACTATGGGTTACTCATGTCACCGGAAATTCTTTTAGTAGTTTTAGTTGTATACAGTACCTTTAATTGACATCTGAAATAGGTTGTGTTGCTCTATTGTCTGAACTGCAGTTGCTGTTTAAATGTCATTGGTTCAATTTGTGCTTAAAATCATACATAGATTTTAAAGAAGAATCTAGGTGTTTCTGTTGTTTACATTCTTGGATTGAGTTTGACTGGAATTAACTTGTAGTTTGATGGGTTTTTTACTCTTACACTTCTCTGTTTTGTAATTTAGTGCATGTTTAAGAGTTTCTTAAAAAGTTCACATTCACTTTATCACTTAAGCAGGATGATTGACTATCATCTTGCTTATTTCTCAGGGAGTTCAGTGCCTGTGACCAGTAGCAGCGTTTCTGCATTTTCTGCTTCTTCTGGAGGATTTCTGGATTTAGACAAATTCAAGAAGCCTGAAGGAAGCTGGGACTGTGAGGTCTGTTTAGTCCAAAACAAAGCAGAAGCCACAAAATGTGTAGCCTGTGAAAGTGCAAAACCAGGCACCAAAGCAGAGCTCAAAGGTAATACTCAGTGAGAAAAGCAAGGGTGTACATTCTACAATTTTTAGTTTTTCTTTTTTAAATACAATTATTTTTCCTTTGAGGTATGGCAAAATTGTTCGTTTTTCCTCTAGGAATATTGCTTAAGTAAGGTAATGTGCCTGTGTTTCCACACCCTTTCCCCAGAAAAAGATGATATTTTTTAGCAAAAAGCTTGTATTAATCATATAGTTTGTTCTTTATAAGCCTTATGTGTTGTTAATTTGGAGTCTAGACTAAAAGCATGATCTTTCAAAGAAGTTAGCAGTGTACTTTTCAAAGCCATGTGGTGGAAAGCAGAGTACCATTGCAGAAAGGTATATGTAGAGAGGAAGCGTGAAGTTTTCTTATTTGTTTTGTGGTTATTTTTTTTTTTTTTAAAACAGTTTTGATTCTGGGAAGTTCAGCACTTGACTCTCAGCCATGTAGCTAAAGCTTACATGTAATACATCATATATTGCAAACTTAACATTATTTATTATTTCTGCAGGTTTTGGTACTGCTACTGTGTCCACAAATGCTGCAATGCCATCATTTACATTTGGTGTCCAGCCATCCTCCTCTGAATCTTCTCATACATTAGGTAGCACAGGAAGTTTTAAATTTGGAGAACAAGGGAGCTTCAAGTTTGGCATTGCATCTGAATCTGCATCCTGCAACACTGCGGCTGGGGGATTTAAGTTTCCTGCTAGTGCAGGGGACTTCAAATTTGGAGTTTCTTCCTCAGACTCTAAATCAGAAGATATTAACAAAGAAGGTAAAAGTAACAGTTTTACCTTTGGACTTTCATCTACAAGCAGTCAGGCTCCTTCAGCATTTCAGTTTGGGACAGCGAGCCTGGGACAGCAGGAGAAGAAAGAGGAACCAGTTTTGGGAGGCTTTGGTTTTGGCACAAGTTCTGCTTCTTCCATAACTACTAATGAGAATAAAACCGGAGTCAGTGGCTTCACTTTTGGAACTGTGGCAGAAAAGGAGGCAGCATCACCCGCTTTTCCATTTAAGAAGACAGATGAGAAAAAGGATGAAACTCTTCCAGCCAAGGGAGGCTTCTCTTTTGGCACTGTGGAGTCTGCACCTGCCTCACAGTTTGTTTTGGGAAGGACAGAAGAGAAACAGGACTCTGTCACTTCTGCTGCTCCATTAACATTTGGAAAGAAAGCTGACAGTGAAGAGCTAAAGGCACAACCTATCTTTTCAGCTGGGACGGCTGAGCATACCAAAGAGGAGAGCACAGCAAAACCTATGTTCAATTTTAGTTTTGTTAAACCATCGGAGAAGGAGAGTGAGCAGGCAAAGCCATCTTTTGCATTTGGGGCACCAACTAGTACTTCAGGTAAACAGAACAACTTTTGTCTTGTCTGCTCGTGTCCATCAAATAATACATCTGAGACGATACTTGACGAAATCTATAGGGTTTGATATATATTATGCAATAGAGCTTTAGAAAAGGCTTTATTACTACCTGTAGCCTGTCTTTAGTTCTGGTTGTTGATGTGTAGACAATAGGTAGCAATTCCTTTTTAGATTTCAGTGAGTTTTAACGCTAAGTTTAGACAAAAAAATCGCCACACCTTACAAACCTGTATCGCTTCTTGTATGAGCACAGGCATTCTATTTTTTTCAGTAGTAGGCAGTTCAGCTGGTGATAAAAGCTCTAGTATGGTGCAGTATAGAGGCATCAGACTAGTGTTGTTATTCATAGTGAAAGGGAATGGGAGAGGGAACACCTTATTCCCATGTACTTGCATTTTATGCTGCTGGGTGTACTGTTTCTCTACTGCGACGAAAGTATAAAAATTACTTCATAGATATTACACAGTTTTGTGTTCCTTTAATTTGTTGAAAGTCTGCAGTGGGAGTTTATAAAGTTCTTCAGTGATGATCACTGTGTGGAAAAATTCTGTTTGTTGTATTCCATTGGTATGACTTGGCAACTGTGTTTTAGAGAACAGAATTGATTTCTAACTTCTGAAGTGATATGGAAAAGGGCATCAGTAAGTAACCCTGAATAAAAGCATTACATAGGGTTAAACTGGTTTTAACCACAGTATTCTTATGGTTGAACTACTATTGAACAGACAGGGGTTTGGAGGATTGTGGGCTTTATGGGAGGGGAGATTGTTGGGGGGAGGGGGTTGAGGTTGGGTTTGGCTTTTTTTTTTTTTTTTTTTTTTTTTTTTTTTTTTCCCTGCCAGGTAAAGTTATGGAGTTTGGTTTAGTTAGGGACATTTGTTGAAGCACCTTGTGCAAAAGTAAGTTTTAACAAGCATTCTTAAGAATGGTATAGTCCCTTAAAAACAGATGAAAAGGGGTCATAACTGCTGGACAAAAAGATAGTAGGAAACTGAAACAAGATCACACATTAGTAATGAGAATTAGACTGGCAGCTTAGAGAAAGCTGCAGAATGATTGACTTTAACAGCCAGCTCTATTTTAAGTGTGTAAAACTGCACTCAGTAACAATGGTCTTGATGGAGGGTTGTTCTCTGTTGCTCCTAAAAGGGTGCTTAAGTACAATGAGTTTAAGCTTGGAAGAGGTAAGATGGAGAGATTGTAAGCTTTGCCTGACTTACAGCCCTGTGCCTACAGCTTTACTTTTGAACAAGCTACAAATGAAACTGTATCACCATGTTTTTCAATACTCCATTGGGCAAAGCCATAAAATTGTTACTGGTGATTGGTGATGGTGTTCTAAGAACATCTGAAATATATTTTTGTTTGAAGAGTTCAGAAGTACTGGTTGATACTGGTTCAGGTAATGACAGCCAGTGCGTAGTGTTTGTAACCGATGAAGCCTAAACTGCAGTGGTGTCCTTGTGCTTTACAGTTTTCCATTTCTTTAATTGTGGATGGCAGCAACCAGCACATTAAATCTGGAGTTTATGTAAGTGATGGTAGCTGGTATAGTAGTTGGGGTGTCATTCAGGATTGCTCTTTGTATGGTCATTGAAACAGGAGTCTACTTGCTGTACTTTGTTTGGAATTTCTGGGATGGTTTATGTACTGTTCTTTCTCTCAGATCAAGGAGCAACAAAGCCATCCTTCAGCTTCTTGAGCTCTAGCTCCTCAAGCACAGTTGTACCCACCACTTCAGCCAACAGCAGCAGTGTGTTTGGCAGCGCCATCTCTTCCTCAAATCCTCAGCCCGTTCCCGCTCCCTTTGTGTTTGGACAACCCAGCAACACTGTGAGCAGCTCTGTTTTCGGCAATTCTGCAGAATCTGCAGCATCTCAGTCATTTGGCTTCTCTCAAGAAAACAAACCAGCAACCACATCCTCCAGCACTGGCACGGCTCTTGCTTCATTTCTCTTTGGTTCAGGTGCCAGCAGTACCAATGCAGCAAATTCAGGCTTCACCTTTGGAGCCACCACCACGTCAAGTTCAACAGGTACATTTTGAATAGATGCTCTTATTTTTGCCATTTTGTAGTGGACAAAGGAAATACTCTTTCATGAATACTTTACTTTGGAGAATGTGTAGGCCAAATGCATGAAAATAGAGAGAAATCTTGGAGTATTTGTATTTAATGCTACAAATTGGGGCTTGTTTTTTCACAGTTTGGGGAATACGGTTTAGGAATGAACTGGCAGCAGCATTGTTTTATGCAAAGGACAACCCTTTCAATTTGTATAGGAACTTTTCACCATGAGAATGATAGTTTCTTTCTTCTTTCTGTCAGTCCAGAAGTCAATGAATTTCAACTTTCCTGATTTTTCTCTCCCATACCTAAAACTCTCAACTGTTGTGAATAATGTCAAGATTTGCAAAATCCTTCCTTCACAAGTATATAAACACAGTGCCTCTACATGCAATTACTGCTGTGTAAGGGTTGGTTTCCAAAAAATATTATGGCCAGTGTTTGTTAATTTTCTAGCAATTTAGAGAAGACTGAGGTAGGAATCTATATTTCTACACGTTTTCTGTTCGTTACCCCAGTGCATTAATTTATAGCAGTATGACACAGCTAAATCCACCAAATCATCTGTATTCCTGCTAGCCTAGCAGTATGTTGGAAATAAGGTTGAACCTGTGAGGAAGAGACTTCATCTAGTTTGATCTGATTGCTCAAACTTGGCATTCACAGAAATTGAATTTCCACACTTTTTGGTGTATCCAGAACAAAGAGAAAACAGTCCTAAATTATAACAACCAGCAGATCAATTTAACCTGCTTACAAATGAGTAACTTTCAGTGTCATTTTTTTAGTAGGTGATGCCATATTTCAAACATATTCACAAAGGATTTTTTTTTTTAAATGCAGAAGCCTATCTTAAGTTTTACCTTACATCTGTTCATCTTCTTGGAAAGGAAAAGAGTCAGCCATTCCAAGTTATGGTGCAATAGAGGGTATTTTCTGTTGCACAAAGGCTGATTAAATAGCATTAATAGTGCTGTCTAAAATGTCCAATTTTGCGTAAGCAGATCTGCTCTGTGTGTTCAGAGTCACTGTTCAGTCACATATTTTCATTCCGTTATTTCTGCTGGCCATGCAGAACTGAAGCAACTAAACAAATGAGATGGTTGTCTGTTGATGTTACGTAGAAAATTACTTTGCTAAACTGAGTTTTTGAATACAGAGAGATCACTGAAAGCTTGATTTGGCCCCTAGAAGTTGATAGTGGTAAACACTTGGGCAGGAAGGGGTGCAGTTGCTGACAAGAAAGGTCCATGTTCTGATCCTAACAAATCAGGAGCTGTATTTTGCATGTTTGAAAAATACAAGTGGAGTGAATATTCTCTCTGTGTGATATGAACCGCTTCTAGTAAATACAAATTAAAATGTACTATTTGTGGGAATCTGCTTCTAGAACATGAATGTTAACACAGTAATCTGAGTTTAGACAGCTGGTGTGTTTGAGAGTTAAAATTTTGTCTGGCTCTCATTAAATACTGCGTTCCTCGTGTTGCTTACAAGAAAAGGTGCAAATTTCTGTTATGGCTGACATAGTATTTGTTTCATATACTCACACAGATTGAAATTAAGGTGAGTATTCAGCTACGAGACTTGGGAAACATGGGGTTTTAGAACCTTTGTTTCTAGATTCAGTTCTTGTTGGGGGGGTGGGATGTGGTGTGTGTGAAAAAAGCCCTCACAGATGCTGACATTTCTCTTCTGTTCCCCGAGGGTCATCCTCTCCGTTTCTGTTTGGCTCTGGGCCTGCAGCACCTGCTGCCGGGCCAACGTTTGGTGCCAGCCAGCCACCAGCATTTGGCCAGAGCCAAGGGTCCAGCCAGCCAAGCGCTCCAAGTTTCGGGTCACTGTCGACACCATTGTTTTCAGCTGGTGCTCAGCCTGCTCCTCCTGCCTTTGGCTCGGTGACAAGCAGCACTCAGCCCTCTGTGTTTGGACAGCAAGCGACCCAACAGCCAGGGTTTGGCTCTGGTACCCCCAGTACTGGTGAGTGCTGACCGTCCTCTTCCTTTTGGTCTCAAAGATCATAGATTTGATTTAATTTTTCATGAAGTGCACCTTTAAATTATATGGAGGAAGAAGACTTCTGCCTTGCACGCGTATTTAACAATTACCCTCCATAAAAATAATGGGTACAGAGTTTAGTCATTTGTGTGTCTCGTGACTGTGGAGGATGTGCCATAGGTGCTGGTTTCGCACTGAGCCTTCCACCCAAGAGACTTAGCAGAGATGGGGGTTGCAACCCTACCGCTAAATATTGGGGTTTATTTTCTTGAGAAATGTAGTGATTAAAAGGAAGTGTTGAGAACTGTGGAGTACTCGCTGATAAGGCTGTACAAAGAATGGCAGAAGCAGTGCAAAATTACTGTTTTGGGATTTGTTAGAGTAGTTCTTAGTTATCTGACTTCATTAACAGACTTTAGCAATTGATTTGGATTGGGGGCTTTGTTGTCTAAGAATATGGTCAGAATTATTTTTAAGCATTTATGGGTCAAGACATTATTTAAAGTTCTTTTTACTAATAAAGTATAAAATGCCATGGGAAGGGGGCAGACAATGATCCTTACAGTTTTAAGTGTAAGACAGACCTGTTCCACACTAGGAATTACTAAAAAATACACTTTCAGAACATATGTATTGGGTATCATCACGTCAAATACTTAAAAGGAAAAGCCTTCTTTTTTCCTCTGAGTTGTTTTACAAAATAGCCTCCATTAAAACTGACATTTTTGTACTAACAGTAGATTAGTTGGCATACCACATTACTCAGTCTTTCATTAATTAGTAAGCAGTTTAAAGACAAAAATCTCCCTGAATTGTCTGTATTGCCTATCAGTTATTTTGATGGTAGGAATTTTTGGTGTTTGTTTGTTTTTTTTTTCAAGATGAGGTGCTGTGTTAGCAGGTGAAATGGAGTCCCCAGATTGACGGCACGAACACAAGGAAGTTTACTTAAATATTCATCTTCATGATTCAGTACTATCATTTAAGACTTTATTAATAAACATCAGTTTACTGAAATTAATAAACAATTAATTATCAGTGTGCCAGCAGTGTTCATTTGAGAATCCCTTTGTGAATCTCTATTAAAGTGAATGAATACTTCTCTGTGTACCATTTCTGTAGTAATGTGGCACTTCTGGTGCCCCCCCTCCCCCAACTGTGTCATCTTGAACCACCTGTAAAAAAAAAAAAATTCATTAAAGATAGTGGGAAGAACATGAGGATTTTGCTGGAAAGGATGAACTCGGATTTCAACTTTCTTACTCCCTTCTTGCTTCCACCCCATCTTCCCAGGTTCTGTATTCCAGTTTGGAAGTAGTACTTCTAATTTCAACTTCCCAAATAACCCAGGAGTATTTACTTTTAGTGCAAATCCTTCTGCACCAGCAGCACCGGCACAGCCTGCTGGCTCTTCAGGATTTTCGTTCAGCCAGCCTCCAGCATTTACAGTGGGGTAAGAGACCGTATCAGAATTTCGCTTGAGCTTCGGGTAATATCAGTGGACAGTGTTCAGCCTCTACTGCTGTTAAATCATGAGGTGTTCAGATGAACTTTCAAGTTTGAAACTAAATTGGGCATCCTTCCTTGTACTAGCCTGTCTGGGTAACTAAGCAACGGTATCTTTAAAGGAGCCTAGCTGTCAGAAATATCAACGTATGTGAAATTGTCTTGTTCTTGAAAGGTAAAATCCGTATCTAGCCATTATGCTGCTACTTACCTTCTGAATAAGAGAGATTTAATTGCTTTTGGTTTCTGGAACTCTCTCCCTCCTGTTCATCATATGCCATTTGTTGCCAGCGGGTAACAGTTGTTCTGGAGTATCTACTCAGTGCTGCTACTGAATTTTCAGCTACACTGTCCTAAACTCTGAACTACTAATTTCTTTTGATAGGACTAATGGGAAAAATGTTTTCTCTGCCTCTGGATCTTCAGTTTCTGGTCGGAAGATAAAGACTGCAGTTAGACGTAGAAAATAATCGCCCGATTGGTATCGCAACTTTCGAAGCAGCTACTACCCTGCATTGTTCAGTTGTTGGGATCGTACCTCATGCTGGGTTAGCTGAAGTCAGATCTGCCTAAAGGAATAGAAAACTCTGCTGCCCTTCCCTTCCCTCTCCCCAGTTAGGTTTTTTTTTTTTGGTAACGAATAGAGTTGGCAACAGGGCCGTTCGTTCTCAAGCAAAACTATTTTAGATTCCAGCAAGTTCCTTCTTTCACTGACTCGGCATGGTCTGGCTGTAGCCGTGAGTAGAGCCTGCACAGTGAATGGCTTGTACAATACCTCCTCATCTGCACCACTATGTGCGCTCATCTGCGTTTACTGACGCCTCGAAATTGTAATTATATCAGCGAGGGATGCTGTATAGAGTAGAGAATGTTGATAACGAATGATTTCTATGCTGAGTTTGTGCTGGTGTATGTGTGAAGTGAGTGAGTTTGGGTGTATTGTGCACTAAAATTTTCTGATAGAGGAAGACTGATTAAAGGATGATCCGTGCTAAGGACTTGTTAGATCTGTAGTTCTTCATTTAATAATTATGCTATTTCTATATTTTCATTCTTACAGCCCTTTATCACCTGTCTCGCCTTTGTTATTTTATTATGAAACATGTGTAAATACAATTTTGTTTCTCTATGTACTTTTTTGGCATAACAAATCTGTGAAATTGAAATTTTAATTTTGTGTGTTACGGCCATTTTTGTTTAGTATTGTCTCAGATTTTATGTAAATCCCATTATTCAAAGTTGCCTAAATCCATTTAGAAAATCTTTAAAATTGGGAATTCTTAAAGTAAGTTTATTGGCTTTTCTGATCCATTTTTGTTTGGACCAAAAACCAGTATTGTACAAAGTATTAAGTATATATTTTTATATTTACTGAAATGGACTGTGGTGACTTTGGATAATAAGGAAAAGTTTAATATTAAAGCCATGTTTATTACAGTATAATTAACATGTTAAACCATGGGATAAATGCCATCAATAAAACTATGAAATACTGGCTGGCAGTTGTAACTCTCCTTGAAGGCAGCTGCAGCTCTGTGAGATGATTCACTCCACCTGAGCAATGTCACATGCTTTCTCCAACCTCTGCTTTCTGACAGATGCTGATTTTAGATGATCTTAAATTAGTTAGGGGTTCCCTGGCACAAAGCAGAGTTTTATTGTTGACTTAAGCTCAGAGCCCATATGTCAGGGTGTCAGTTGTCTGGCTGCAAGGGTTGCGGTTAATTTTTATAGAGATATTAAAAAAAAAATATGCTAATTTTACAAACATTCACCACCATTCTAACTAAAGAGGAAGAAGTACACCTGGTTGTAAATGAGTAATTTGGGTTTTTACCATGTCTGTAGCAGTTGAGGAGCTTCTTAGAGAACAGACATTATTCCAATAATGTGAGAGGAAATGCTCATTTGTTTGGGGAGCACAGCTGAATTTTTACTACACTACAGCATTCAGTTTATGGTTGAGATCTGAGTGCTTGCTACAGCTAGAACTGAAAAGAACTGCATCGTTGTGTAAGCTTTAAATGTCTTTAGAGGTGTCGCTGAGGTTTTTGGCTTACACTTATGCCACTCCCCCCAGTGCTGCTCAGCACTTGCACAGCTACAGGTGCTGGTATTAAAAAATGAGATACTCTGACCATGAACCAGGCTTAACAGGAGCACAAAGGCTAACTTCTGTTTTCATAGGAGTCTTACGTAGACTTACTTGGAGGTCTTACATTTCTATAAATAGAAAATATCCAGCAACTAGACATCAAAACCACACATGTAAGCTGCTGTTCAGGTCACCTCCAGCCACTGTAGCTGTGGAGAGATTATATGCAGTTATGTGTTTCCAGGTGTCTAAATCTGAAAAATGCCATTAATTTCAGTTCTTTTCCTTGGCTATCACCTGTCAAGCACTCAGCCTACAAACAGAAAAAAAGTTGCATAATCGCTGCAACTTGCATTAAGAGACAAACTAAAAGCTAGTGTTTGCAAAAGCACAATGTATACCTGTTTCCAAGGACAAGCCCCATGTTCCTGAATTGTAATTTTTTTCTTTACCTGCTCTGGGAGGCCTGGTATTTTTCTACAGGGTAAGAGATACCTGTTTTATCTAAGGGTGTTGCTTTTCCTTTCCTCCCCCTCATCTTGAAGCCTAGTTTCTAGGTCACTGCTACAGTAAATAGAATAAAAGTTCTTTTTGTGTTCATACTGAAATTGTAAATAGGCAACACTCAGCCTAGAAGGGATTTTTTAGTTAGTTCTGGCAGCTTTAGCTTCTGGCAGGCTGACTGCCATGCCTGAACTTCTAACTTCAGTGAGTACTCAAATCAACAGTGCAATTCCTTGTAAGAACAGTTAAGTGGTATCTCTGAAGTTCTGTTTCAGCTAAACATCTTCAGGTGGTCTGAACATCAAAAGGGTGCTTTATTCAGCCTTGCTTCTTGCTCTTCAATACTTCAACATTTTTATTTCAGTGATGCATGTCAGTAATATTGCTCTAGTGCTAATGGTACATTTAAGACACTAATCTTTTGTTTGGTAAGAAATTACTAGTGTAAAACAATAGTAACCCTCAAAATGATGAAGTCTCTACGTTATCTGTAGTGAAGTACCTCAAAATCAGGTTTCTAGCTTGAGAAAGATATTTTTGAAGCAAAAAAAAGTACAAACATTCTGGAGAGGTAACTGATGGGAAAATGATTCTCCCACTATTAAGCAGTGGCTTTGGTCCTGAAATGTCATTGTAAGTGAAAAACAAACACATAAGAAGCACATTATATTTATACACAACACCACCACTTGTCAAAATTAAAAAATTGCAGAATATTAACACATTACTGATTATTTCACAGGAAGACAAGACAACCAAGCTCTCAAACATTTCTATTATCAGTCAACCCTTGTCCAAAACTGAAGGTAGGGTGAGAACTTCAACCACTGAGCAGTAACTTACACCTCAGAGAGGAACACACAAAAACTAGGCTCTAGAAGAATTCCAAACTCTTACTCAAGTTTTAATAAAACATTAAACATTGTTGCTTATATTCCTTTCCCAAGATACTAACAGAATGAAAATAAACAAATTAAAAGTTATGTAATCATGCAAAATATTAGGCTTCTTTATTCAGTATTTAAGTTACTCTGAATATACAATTAGCCAGAATTATGAAGTAAAAATAACCAGTATTTGTAGTTTTTACACCCATAACACAGTTTAGTTAATGTTTTCTGCATGCTCCTGAAACACATTAGGGTGTTTTGCTTGGTATTCTATGCCAGAATAGACAAGTGCTTTCACTCCAAACAGAAGCAAAAAAGTTACCTTTAACTGGGTGAAACATGGTATGGTCTGTACTGTTCATAGCTCCAAAATTATTTACACACACACACACATACACACACACACACACACACACACACACCCCAATTCACTAACACTGCAGCATAACATGCCCTTCCCAGAGAAAAAGCAGCTATTATTTCACCTCTTTATTAGCTTTGACATGTGAAATAGGTGACAACGCTTGAGACAATCATGCAAATAACTTCACAGCAACGTTCTGATAAAATACTAAGAGGTGAGGGAATATGATCAGTGTAGCAATAATAAGGAGCATGAGAATCACTGCTCATCTCTCTCTACACAGATGGCAATTGAATTAACATAATTTGCCTTCCTGTCTAATACTGCAGTACTCTTCCCCTCAGAGTTTATCATATGACTTAGGCAACTGCTTGGAAAACAACCTGCCAAGATCCAAAACTGGATGAGTGACATTTCTTTTAGGGTGGCATATTTCTAGGGATTTGCTTCCCACAGAGAACAGCTCCTTTCTGCAGTTAAGATTGACACTCATCAATTGGAGGTTAATACTTCCAGGTTTAGTATGTATTGTTTCTCCCAAACTTCTTTGGCATTTACAAAAACTCCAATACTTTGAAGGTAGCTGCTGGCATCATACTGGAGCAAAACATATTCTTTAGCTTCTGAATCAGTTCCCATTTAATTTGGGCAAAAGGTTCTGAGAGACACCTCAATTTAAGTTTTGGGGTAGGTCTTTGTTCACTGGGGATGGGAGGGGATGTTCAAAACCAGTCTGGAAATCTCCTCTGTTGGTATCATCTGACTCCATTTCTTCTTACCACAATAGTTCCTGCTACGATATCATAGGCTGTTCTGTTGTGCTGGAAAAACAGCAGTGTAATGAATGCAGGAAAAAAGGAAGCAATAGAAAAATTCTTGATCAAAGCTCGTATTGTGGACCTGAAATAGAATAAAACATTCAGTGCCTTACTTTCATTTTTCTGCTTAAATTAGTAGTTAGTTTACTTTGAAGTTTAGTGCCTCAGTTTTGCACAGCACAAAAATCAATCTCCAGAGTTCAGAGGAGGCTATTTTACCACCTAACCTGAAAAACATTCATGTGACTAAACAATTGCTATTTTATTCTTAGACCACAGAATCTAACAATAGGCCTTGCAATCTAATTATTGCAAAGGGCAGTGATAAAGAAATGGTGTATTTTCTTCCAAATCACACATTTTCCACACTGTTAACCTGAAAGCAACATGCCTGAGCTAAGAGCACTTACGTTGTCATACTGACATTAGAAGATGGAATGACTAACACACGGCTGGGCGCAATAAGTACAGATGTATCGCATGTCACAACTCGGAGTCCAAGCAAGAATTTCCCTGGGGTTGCTCCACCTGCTCCCCAAATACAGATTATCTGTAAAAGAGAAGTTATTTAAATTGCACACAACACCATGTTGTTGGCCGATCTAGCAAATTTGGTCTTCCTCAAAACTATGTGAATGTCGTAAATTCAACGTAATGCAAAATAACTGTAAAGAGGATTTACTTTATAGGTGTGATAGATGTTTTTTAAACATTTATTCAACAACTGACAAGCATTAATTATGGAAGTTAATGTTTAGGAACAGTTACCTCATAGAAGCAGACTAATAGCCTGTAGATGAGAGCTACTATCATCATTTTCTGCAAATCTTCCATGGACGTATCTTCATCTATTTCTTCTATTATGTAATGCATGGCAAATTTAGAGATGTCCCTGTACAAGATAAGACTGAACTTTAAAACCATCCTTCTCCCAGTACCTATGTTACCCCTTCAATATTAGAATTCACTCCTTCAGTTCTGGTATTAGTAAAAGAACAAAAGTTTCTTGGCTTCTCTGATACTAACAACCAAGGCATTAAAACTCAGAACACTAGGCTTCCTTCTGAGCTGCTGCCTAGTTCCTTTCAGTCTTTGTCATTAAGAAAAGATCATTCCTTATTACCACTTTTGCACAATGGTGCCCCTGGGTAGCGAGCTGCTGAATTGTTCTGAAAATTCTCACACTTCTTGGGAGAAAAACGAGATTCTGCATGCGATCACCAGTAAAGCTGACACCTTGGCATGCAAGAGGAAGTTCTGAACTTAAAGCAATTGAAACCGTCAGGTTTTTACTCTAACAAAGCTATGCAAAGCATCAATTTTGAGTCAACTATGTATTTTCACAAGATAAACTCTACGTTCTTATCTGATACCTGGAATGGGCATACTTGCAACATGTATTTAGGCAGACTTTTCACTAGCGCATGTAAGTGAGGATTACTACTCACAACAGAAACATGCAGTCCCACTTCAGAACAGAACACCTGTATTTGCACTACCTGCCCTCCTCTTTATTCAGACTCAAGGATCAAAATAGTTAAGGAAGTCAAAAATAGTGTGGCACAACTTGCATTTCCCTCCCATACAACCTTGTCCTGAAGTCTGTCTTGAGCCTATGTGGGTGATTTTTTTCATGCCAACTCCTCAGCCCAACCTCAAGCATACCACATCTCGTAAGCAAAAAAAACCCCAGAACATTTCTCTGAAGTTCCTTGTAACCAACTTGTTGGCTCTTGCAAAAGTAGTAATATCGAATATTCTATAAATTAATTGAAAAAGATTCCCTCTCCACCCCCTTCACTACTTTTCAGAAGCAATAGTTCCCCATCTTTCCAGTACTTCATTTTGTATCATTCTCAGCATACTAAAACCAAAATGGAAATACAAGCTGTCAGGTCAGAATTGGAGGTTTTGGCAACTAAATAGAACTGAAGAGTCTGGCATTATCTGAACAAAACCCACTGATCATTCACATTAACAAATTTACTGATTTGGATTTGACACTCTTCCACACACACCTTTCAAGCAGCTGTTTAAGGTCTCTGAAAGATGTTATCTGTACAATATCAGTTTACAGTCAGTCAAACCTTTGGAAGCTTCTTTAGCAGAAAACTTGGATTCTGAAATGTTTGTACAGTAATGGACTTACTGACTAACCCAAGCTTTCATCTCCTAATCAAACCAAAATATTTGATTACACCAACCCAAAGCAGAGGAACTAAATGAGCTATGGAATAAGATATCTCCAGTTAAAGCATCAGATAAAGAAACAGTCTGAGATAAACGATTACATCTGAGTATAAAAATGCAAAATGAAGAATCTTTCAGTCTAGTGTACAGCTGATATACACGATGCATAATCATACTTTTTAAGATACCCAACTTATGCCCAGCAAAGACTGCAGCATTCCTAGCAATCAGTCTGTATTTTAAAAGTACATAGACATCTGACATGCAGGATGTGATTTTGTTGTTGTTGTGGGTTACCATTGTTTTGGTCACAAATCTAAAACACAGCACAACAGGAGATGCTAGGAAGAAAATTAACCCCATCTCAGCCAGATCCAGTACATTTTTAAAGGCTGTTTAAAAAAACCAAGTTTGTCAATACTTTTCTTTGAAATTGTAAAAAATCTTGCTATTGCCCCCCCCCCCCCAATAATACTGCAGGTCTAAGTAAAGAGTTTGTGAGCCTATGAAGACACCTGTAAAAATTCTATTTCCATCAGCCAACCCAAATTCAGGAAGTATTTAAAAAGAAGGTTAACCTAGTGGTGCTTTTTCCTGAAGTTTTGACAGTTACTAAGTGCCATCACATGCATTAGCATATCATATATACATCATGACACCTCAAAGAACATGAAGAGCTTAAAGCTGTATGTAACAAAGCTTTAAATTGTTCAACTTACTTTATTCCACTGAGGTGCATAATACTTAAAACAATGGTTGCCTTTATAAAGAACAGAATAAAAAAATCCACCATCTCTGCTATGAACCTGTGTGCCAACGAAGGGATAATGAACTCCCGACCTGTAAAAGAAATAGTTAACATTACCCAGATTTTACTCCACAAAGTTCACACTATAATCTAAAGAACATTTCACCATTAATCTCATTGCAAGAACATAATCAAGATCTTGATCTCAGCTCACATCATCTTTGAGAAAACTTCTAAAGGTGTATGAATAAAAAATGAGCTGAATTATTTAAATCAATTTATAAGAACCTTCTTAAATCAGACACTTTCAGAACTCTGAGTCCCCTCATAATTAGAATTACAGACAAAATCCCACCCCACTAAAGAACCAAAGTACATTGAAGATGCATCAATTTTTGTGTTCTTTCGTTTAGAACAGCCTCACAGAGATTTCAGTAAATCTGAGGGTTCAAATAAAAGGAAAACTAGATGTACCACAGCTTCTCTATCACTAAACAGCAAGGCTTCTGTAGGTACTGAGTACCAGCTCTCTGAAAGCAAAACAGCCTATTTTGTCTCCAGTCAGACCCAGAAACAGGAGCAGATGAAAATATTAGTCATGCTTGACATAAACACTCCTGTAGACTAGTTATTATAACAAAACACAGCATGATGCACTACTGCGAGGCAGAAAATGTATCTAATTGGCCAAGTGCACATGGACACAAAGCAAGTGGTCACAGTTACAAGCTGATAATGCTACCTTGGATGATAAGTGCAAGGAAAATATCAAAAAGTATCTTAGTTTCCAAGGAATAGAGTTGCAAAATAATTTCATATGGACCCACCTACCCCTCTACTTCCCAAACATGACACTCTCATGCCACCAGCAAGGACTCACATCAAAATTTAATTTGGAAATACCCAAGTGCTAGTAGATATAACTTGTGGAAAATAGTGACTGCCTTTGTTAGTGTTTCTGAGAACACCTACCCCACACACACAGGGAAAGGAGAAAAGGAGGAAAGCAAATCGTTCCCCTCCCCAATCTCAAAAACCGGCATCGTTTCACTTACAATAAGCCTCCACACTTCAACTACGGAGACTGATACTGCCAGTCCCAGCCTCACAAACTATGCAAACTAAGCTGAGAGCCCACAGCACGTGGATGCTTTTAAAATGGTTAAGTATAATCAAGCAGTGATTAGGTAAGCACAGGTTCTTATTTAACATACGCTGGTTGATATATCTTTGTTTCATACCCGTTTCACCGATAACTTTGCATCCATAATACCAAGTAGCATGACTGTTACATATATAATACTAAGATGGATTCAATTCTCATTGTCAAAGCATGTCCAAGTTGTCAATTAAATTCTAATTAAAGATTCTTCAGCTAAGGCAGAAGGGAGCATAGCCACTCTCCCAATCCTGGCTTGCGTATGAGCACCAGACAAAAGCATTCATTGGTTCTGTCAAAAGGAGCACGTTTGCTTAAGTTCGTGGTACAGTTTCATTTGAATCTATTAGATTCAATTAATGAATACGGAAGAAGCTAAGTGGGGCTAAGAAAATGAGTATTCAAATTATGTTAAACTCCATTACATTAAGAAGCCTTGGCAACCCCTAGGCTCTGGCAGACTTCCACTGCAGCAATTTGAAGCGTTCCTCATAACAGAAACCCACTATTTTGCCAGGGGTTACTATCTGTATGGCAGGGACAGCCAAATGCAACATGAATCCGTCTCAGCTCTTAAGTCAGGGATCTTATGATCAGCTAGTAATAAAGCTGGGTTTGCACCGGTCTGCCACCGGGCATCTAAAACCTGGAAGCACTTTTTGCCCTCTCTTTCCCAGCAGAAGAGCAGTAATCTGCAGTAAGGTGGGGAGGGGCAAGGGGAAGAATCGTGAGGACTGTCCAGAAAAAGCCTGTTACTGCCCAGAGTTCTGTTAATATTTGTGCCCTGACACACACCTGCAGGCAGACTGAACTTTAAGAGGCAGTTACCAATTCCACTTCTTGATATCCCAGTTTAAAATCTGCAACATTAACATAAGCTGTCACTTATTTCAGCTTACATAAATGCACTGGGCTGTAAACTGCAGTGGTGTAGGGAAAGATCCATGACCTGCTCTGCTGAGCCTGCTGTGCAGGCAATGATCTGCAGCAGAAAAGGAGCCATAATCACTTTAGTTGTTCCAGATACATCCATCTGCAATCTGGAAACAAAGCACCAGCACTACAGTCTTTGTTTAGAGTTACATCATATTTGACCTACAGAGTTCCCTTAAGAAGGCCAAGTGTTGCAACAGCATTTAGCATTACATAGTAACCATGTTCACCAGCATGAAATGCTATTCGCGCCCTAAATTACCTTTAACATATGGAATCAGTTCCTGAAGAACTAGTTAAATATCCAAGAATCATGTCAGTCTAGCCTTTGTCCATATCTTCTGTTTGAATGACAGGCACTATCTGTTTATAAGCAATCTATAACTCAAAATCAGGGCACGATTAAATAAAATACTACTTCGTGTTATAACCTTGTTTAAACAACAGTTGCTCACAGCCCCATGAAAGAAGCCAATTCAAAAGCTACATTCCCTTCCCTTCAAAAGAAAGAAAAAGCAACTGAAAACGTTCTCCCCTCACACCCAGCCGCTGAGCTTATAAAAAAATGTTACAGACCAGTAATGCTGTACTTTGCCCTGCAGAAAGAAAGGAGATCTGGCTTTTCTCCAAAGTTCTTCAGCAGTGTTCTGCTCCACCGTTTTCTACCATTACTCAAGGTGCTAACCAGACACTCGGGGAATGTCACCTAGGTGCTCCTCGACTTGTGAGGAAATGTTTGTGCTCCAGGCTTTCTCTCTGATGTGACTGGAGCAAGTTTGTCTTGCTCTCGAACAAATATAAACAGAAGCACTGCTATACACAGCCTTCAATATTTACAGCCCTAGCAGACTTTTGTTTATCTCGGGTCTTGCTGCTAGCTTGCCGAACGTAAGCCTGTTTTTACTTCTCTGCTTCAATTTCATTAAGTGACTTTAAGGACCAAGAGCCCACTAAAACTGATAAAGTGAGTTTAGATGTCATCATCCAAACAGCCTACTTACAAAGCTTGGTGCATTACAAGCCCATGATCACAAGTTTTATTGAAAAAAACCCAACCCCAACCTTCTTCATATCCATGAAAACGCCTTACAAGCGCTAAAGCTACATGCCGTACACCCAAGCCAACCCTCTCAAACCTGCTTGCGGATTAAGTTCTGGATTTGCAAACTCGGTACTTGGGCTGTCCCCTTTTACAAGGCACAGCGACGCGCCCGGGTCTGCCGCCCTCAGAAGCGCAGCGGCCCTCAACGTTGCAAACCCCCCCCGCTTCCTCCCAGAGACGCCGTTTCCCAACACGGCGGCGGGGAAGCGACGGAGACCGAAGGCGCCGCGGGCGGCAAGGCCCCGGCCCCGCGCCCACCCGCCCCGCACGGCGGCCGACCAGGGGCTCTGGCCCCAC